GATGTGCCCCTCTCTATTCGACTCCCATTAATGCATAATATTGTTGCATAGTGTTGAAAAGAGTTACTGCAAGGACCTGTTTAACAGAACCAGAATGATAGTATCATTTTCATCAATGTTAATTGTAATACGACCAGTTGCGTCCAATGTGCCCACATATTAACATATCACACAATACTCTTTATAGTTAATTGTAGCACAGACAAAAGAAATTGTTTTCCCCATATGGTTCTGAAATGTAAGTAACCGTGCACATTCTTTAGAAACATGTGGCTCTGTTCAGTACAGAATAATTACAACTCAGTGTGACTGGGTGACTGATGTTTGTAATATATTTCCCGTTGACGTGTGACAAGCTGTTGCCTTGTTAAAATCACCCCAATGGTCACATGTGCATCAATCAACATGTAATGAACCGGGTTGTCAGTGGTGCTCATGTGTATCTATTTATCAAGTTATGGAGCAAGTGGAACATTTGATGTTCTCTGTTTTCATTGTACATTTTCCATTTAGCAACTGGTCTCGAGCTTGATGTTACTGTTAGTATAGTTCTGTTTAGTCTATTTAGCTCAGCTAATACTATCCATGTAACACACACTCCTGAAGATGATGCTGAGAGTCATGTTTGTGACATCATACCCTTTGGCACAAGCTGGCTACATGTGAATGTGCTGTACTTGTTTTTCCTTTATGATCAGCTAAGATGGCCAGTTCAGTTGTTGTGGAGACATGTTATATCATCGTTTACATCATGCACACATTGAATTCCTGAGTAATGTCACGTTTGTTGTAAAAGTGAGTTGGCTCACATTGATAGACAGTGGTATGTATTTCACAATGTGAAGAAACATTATTCTCATGACACATGTTGCTAATTAATCAAACTAATTCTAGTTTGAACCAATGGGTAGACCTTTTAAAAATCGAATGCTAGTTCTAATGTCCATCTCTTCATGTGCCTCCTAAATTGTGACACATCACCTATGCTAAAAACTTTGGTACACATGTTTCAGTTACAGTGTTACATTACAACTTGTAAATAAATACAGATACACCAGCTGAAACAGCCTCACTGGCTTATTATGTACGTTATATATAGGATAGGATATTGATATAACGCACATATCCACACAACTAGTACCTGCTCAAGGCGCTGGCATTTTTCCCCTCGATCATTGTATGTCAATTTCAACGGCACAACATATTATCAATCTCAACTCCCTGGGGATCATACAACTCTTGCCGCCACTAGGCACATCGAGTTATTGTGGCTTTCCCATCCTTACGAGGTACCCATTCACAGCTGGGTGGACTGGGACACATAGTCACAGTACTTTGTCAAAGTTTACTGCACGTTGCTGTGCTTGCAACAAGGTGTTTGTACATATTCATGTAGCCACCATCTGGTCATTTACCAACGGATTCGTGGGCTCTTTTAAGTGCACAGGGTTGTGTACTGTACACTAGGGATTGTGACAACACTGAAAGAGTCTGCACACAAAGTTGACGCCAAGGTTTTTACACCCGGTCACAGGTGGGCTCGATCCCGGCACCTCAAGCTTACTAGATCATTAGCCTGGCGCCTTAGATAGCTCGTCCAGTATGCCCTTCTGTTAGTACTGGGATTTGTAAATGTTTAGTGATAAGGTGATATATTTTGCATATTTTAAGCAAATATTATGCTTATCAAACAGATTAAAAGATTTGACTGATATCGTCTTTTTGTCATGTGCAGATGTGAACAATAATGTAACATACCATGAGGTAGCAGGGGTGGGCCAGTTGTCTAAGATAAAGCAAGTCACTGTACAGACTGGCTCCATGTGCACCACAGAAATCTATCATTGTGGAATTGATTGCTTTTTGGCTGCAGATATTTTGGGTTGGGTAAGAACCATATCAGTGCCCAGGAATTTCGAAGTGGTTAGGGGCCGTTCATAATTTATAGGATGGGTGGGGGGCTGGGTGATGATGATTTTTATGGAGAAGCATGTACAGTGGGGGGAAACACACACACACACACACACCACCCCCCCCTCAAATTTCTGTACAAAATAAGTGACACCCCCAAGCTCCCCAGAACAAAATGGGTGCCCCCCTCTTAAAATCATCATCACCCCTAATTATGAACGGTCCCTTAGCATCTGAGACCTCCATCATTTCTAGCTTTCCTCTTACATGAAGCTGACCACACATGATAGCACTGAACCACCACTCACAGCTGGATTACACCCAACTCCCTCCCTCAAATGCCATTGATCTAGATTTCATGATTCTATGAAGCATGTCCACTTGAGTACCTATCCAGCTTACCATGAACGTTTGACAAAGCAGGCTGAATTAATTATATGGGGTTTTGTGTGTTGTCCCATTGGTATGCAGTCAGTGTGTCTGTGTGTGTTGAACAAATGCCAATGCTCTGTAGATGTGGTACATGCTACACTTAGTTCACTCAATGGTGCTCACTGTGTGTGTAGTGTAGTAAAAGTTCCCATTCAGAAGTTTAGGGCTGGTGATTCAGTAGATCTGAAAAACAATTAAACAAGCATTCCTTACCAGCTATTGAACAGTTCACCATCATTACACCTCAATTTCAACAGCAGACTCAGTCATATTCCTTAACTGAAAATCTGCAGATTGAAGGCTTGTTTTCTGTTCTGAGTTGCATACTTTGTAAAGTAATGTTTTCAGCAAATGTACTGCCTTGCTACCTTTCAGTGAGCAAGGCAATTCAGAAATGACGAACCCTCTGTTTCACATTGAATAACTCCTGTATTTTGTTGCTGTGATGGGTCAGTCATGTTAGGTCATGGTATGTTGTGATATTGTGTGATATATACTCAGCGTATTATGCGACACGTAAATGTGCGTCCAGTATGCACAAATATAAGGAATGGTCTCCGTTTCTTTCAGAGCAGTTATGTGCATCATTTCACCCATCAGTCCACATGATCAATGATTCATTCCAGGCTTAACAGAAATTATCAAAACATGCAGTTCTCCACACCGTTACTTCACAGGGCCTTCTTATTGCCTCTTATAATCAGGGGTCCCTGGGACCCCCATTTATGTGAGACGAGGTAAAACCCTGTATACTGTATTTGTATGTATCCAGTGTTATGGATACTTGATGACAGGACAGGGAAACTAACTCCCATTGCTATTTCTGCATTGTACACAGTAACGGTTCACCAAGTTTGTCATCAAGTATAGAACCAAAGTCATTTCAAAAATATCCTGATGGACCAGTTGTCGAAGGTAATGCAGTTTGCTGTCCAGAGTTGAGTCCCTTATCAGTGCCAGAAATTTATGATTTGGATTCGATTCCAAGATCTGGCATGATTACAGTGGAAGCCCTCTAAACCGGCATTTGTTGGGCCCAGCAAAAAATGCTGATATAGAGGGCGTGCCGGTTTAGTGAACTTTCCCTTTTCAACCTGAGAAATATATACCGTGTGCCGTAAAATATGACTGAACAACGTGTTGATTGTCATCATATTCAGTCAAAAAACCAATCATGCGTCAGTGTGTTAATTTTGTCAAGTTTACTGTTTTCATTCATACGACAATTAATTTATAATAGAAGTGACACGTGTCACTCACCAATTTACCTCACCTACTAAGGCCTAATCCTTATCCACTGGTAATCCACTGTGTTGTTAATACACGTTCAGCCAATCAGCCAAGCCAATCAACAGGAGAGCCGAGATACCGGATGCCGGTTTAGATAGTGTTAGTTACTGAACAAACAGTCAATTAGGCGGTCTTTGTTGTACCAAAATACAGAATAGACTGACGCCGGATTAGAGGGCGTTAAAATCCTCATAAATTAACTAGCTTCTGCCGGGACCAAATTTCTAGTGCTGATGTTGAGAGCATGCCGGATTGGAGGGCTGCCGGGTTAGAGGGCGGATTGGAGGGCTGCCGGGTTAGAGGGCTGCCGGGTTAGAGGGCTTCCACTGTATGTTATCAGTCAGCACCATATCTAGGATTATGTGGTTAAGTGGGAAACTTTAAAGGCCTGTATCACTTGCTTTCTTCACACAGTGAGCTGATACAGCTGAAATATTGTATAAAACAGTATACACCAAACTCACTGTCAAGACTACTGTTTTCTTATCAATACACAATGCCATTTAGAAAGTAACAAATGTTTTAAATGTAACAAATGTTATATTTGTTATATTTGTTATATTACTGTTTTCTTGCTTTGGGCTGAGGTAGTTTTAGTAGGTGAAAACTGCCACCATGCTTTGTATGCCTTGTGTATAGGAAAGCAAAGGTGTGAAAATGTCCCAATTTTAGCTCGGTACAGAGACCTAAATAAATCATGTTGCATATCTCGTAGTGTTTGGAATTGGTTGAAATCTCACAATTGATGAATGGTTCATTACCAATGAGCAATCATAAAAAAAAATTGGTTAGCGACATTTTTCAAATTTTCCAATTCAGGTTGTTATTGCAGATAAGTATAACATGATGCAACTTGCTACTTTAAAGTGATGATGAAATTTCTTGTACATAAACTTCCTGGAGTCTTCAAGAAATATTCAGTCATGACTTTTCAGCAAGTGAAGTGAGTTTTCTGAGAATAAACACGTTTTCCGGCCCCGGCCCTGACAACATCTAAGATATGTTTCATTGTCAAGTGTTTCAACCATTAAAACAGTAGTTCCAAAATCGTTTGTGTTCAAATACGAGAAAATGTGATCGATTGCTTGGTTGTTTGGTCACTGCGACCAATCTTCGATTATTTCAATTAATTGGAACACCACTATTATCTCGATTATCGGGTGGACACTTTCAATGTCAATAATACACACTTTTTTGTGTAATATGAAGTAAAAAACCCTGAGCTGCTTTTCAACTTTGATGAAGGGCATGTATTTTACATTGAACAATCAACAACTTATACATTTCACAGCACTGAAGCAGAGCACTGCAAGAATCCAAGACATCTTTATTTGAAATGTTCTCACTGAAATGTCTCTCTGTTTCAGAAAAGTATGTGTATATTGGTAAGCTGTTGAAGCCCGGAGAGCTCCCCACTGAGTACACAGACACGGAGGATGAGGTCAATGAGGACAGTAAAGACAAAAAGGAGAAGAAGACGGATTGATTGTGTGTATTCCTGAGTAGTTAGATGCTGCGATCAGGTTGTCCGGCCAGCAGTGGCTGCAGCAGCAGCAGCATCTCCTGACTGAATGACTGACTGACCAACTCGGCCTCCTCCCAATACCGGGATCTCCATCCCGACATTAATGGAAGGATCTACTTGTTAGGGTTGTAACGATTCATGAAGGTCCATTTCGATATTTAGTGTCATGATAAGGTTGTGTATATCTGTACAAAGTACAACATACAACTATTATGCTTATTGATTCATATAAACTGGTATGCAATAATTAAAATGAACAAATATATTTTTGTCCGAGTTCTCAAACTGTTGTCTTAGTGGCAGATGAAGGGCAGTGGGTAGTGCTTGAAATGTATTGGTGTCACCGTAGGTCTGGGTTGATATCCTATGATGCTACAGTGTGTCAAGCCTATTCCTGGTGTCCTGTGTGATGATGGTGTGGTAATATTGCCAAAAGATGTGTAAACTGTACTTGCTTACTCGGAATGAGGCCCTAGTCAGTTAGAGTCTTGGGTCCCGATCCGCAACCGTTCGTCACTTTACAACCTGTTTTAACTCTATAGTTTACCATTGGCTTACGAATGTGGTTCGGGACCCAGGTCCTGTAATTCAAAATCCACCTTTTGTGTAGAATCAAATTGAGTTGATTTCTGTTTGTATCATAGCATGCATTGTATCATAACCTTATCGATCTACTTATTGTATGGCGACCTTATCAAGCATTGTATTGCCCACAAACTGTATTGTAACAACATTGTTAAAATCAGATCTTTTAGTCTTCAATAACTCTGTTGTCATGATCTGACAAACCCTCAATTATGAGGTCATGATAGGAGGACCGGATCAACCAATCTTTTCTACTTCTTGGTATGATGGAATAAAGCTTTCAGAACAACATGAGTTCTGTGTCCCCTACAGAGTGGTAAATATGCATGACAACATAATAGAACAATTTCATCTCTGTGCTTTTCAACTGAAACAGAAGTATTGGATCAAGTACAAGATCTGATTTTAATGAGGTTGTGAATCGTTCCAGCCCAAGTTGGTGTTGATTTTGTCTAGAAGTGTTAGTTTGTGTAATAACAGGAGTTTATGTAAAGAAGATGCATATAATGTTTGTTGGAAGTTCTCTGTGTGTATGCTTGTCTTTGCTGGTGCAGATGGGAGAAGTCTTGTCAAGTGGGTTGTGTTATCAAATAAGACACCCATCAAATGAAATATCTTCATGTTTTGGCAGTTCAACTTTCTCCTTAAGACTATTTTTATTATTTCAAAGGTAAAATGATCATTTGTGATTTTAAATGGATTTGTTTTGTTGGATATCATGATCATAATTTTGACATCAAATAACGACACAATATATTGGTCTTCGAGTCAGCATGGTCAAAGAAAATGTCTTCTCATCTTATAAGTTACTTTGGCTCAGGTTTCCCTTTGTGCTAAAAATATGTGCAGGAACTTATTCTCCTTTTAAGTGATGTCATCACATTGTTCTTGTGCAGTGGATGAATCCAATTCCTTTTGAACAGGGGACTGAGGTGGAGTGTGCCGTTTATGTTCCTCATAAACCTTTTAGTGCGAGTCAAAATATGCTTCACCTTTCACCCCTGCTGCTGACGGCATGGAATATGCTGCTCTTCAGTTCAAATGTTTGGCAGACATCTGATAAATTGATAAGTTGCAAGATATTTTATCTATTTTAGCTGTGCTTTCTTGGTCACGCAAATAGGAATAAATGATGTGAAGTTGGCTTTATCTGAAACTTAATCAATATCAATTGTTGAAATGACTATGTTGCACATCAATTATTTGTTACACTGATAATACAGCCTTAAGTCATGGTTGGCCACTCAACAGTGATGCACCATTATAACAAGGCACCTTCCAAAATGGGTGACATTGAAAACTCTTTAAGGGATTGCCAGGATGTTTAAGAAATGCACTTGCATGATCAGGATTCCTTTTCATAGTATCCAGATGGCATGAATTTGTTACGGTATCAGTCACTGGATTGTTTGGTCCAGATTGGATTATTTTCAATCCTCTGTCATATGGCTGGACTATTGCTGAGTGCGATGGAGACCAACATATGTGGCTTGTGCCTCTGAATTTTGAAATCTGATGGAACAGCTGAGAACATGGTAGTCAGACAGTATCATCAGTTGTCATGGTTGCAACCCAGCTGAATGCAATACATTGTTTCATGGGGATGGAAATTGTGAATATTGTTGAATACATGTTAAATGAAACTTTGGTGCATCACATCTGATGCCCTTTATCAGTAAAGATTGATTCATTGTGGATGTCTTTGTACATTTTCTCTTCTGTATAATATTGAATTGATTGGGATAATATTCAGCTTAGAATACAACTACTTTCTGCAGGTTTTTCAGTTGACAATTACATTTGCATCTTGTGTATTCACTCGATCAAAATACTGTATCAACAAGCCTTAAGGACCCGCTTTCAGTTCTTAGATGTTGTACAAAAGATTTTCATTGTGTCTTGATAGACAAGGGCATTATTCGAAAAATGATCTTGGTGCAAAGAGTTTAGTACGTCTATGCTGAAGCCACAAAAAATTTAGATTTTCATCAAATGTGAGACAAGAGGTTTGTTTGCATATTTCGTTTTAGACCAATTACTTAGGAAGTCACTATTAAATGCAGAGGCATGTGATTCACATTTCATCAATGTTTGATAGTACTATGTATATACTGTATTTCTTTACCAACTACCGCCTCCGTGGTGTAGTGGTTAGAGCGTCCGCCTGGAGAGCGTAAGGTCGCGGGTTCGATCCCCGACTGCGACATACCAAAAAGACGTTAAAAAATGGTACTTGTTGGTCCCTGCCTGGCGCTCGGCATTAATGGGTACAACAAGGACTGGTCGGCTCTGAGTCAGTATAATGTGTCCGAGTGGGGTATTCATGCTTCACTGCGGCATGGTATCTCAGTGGGCTAGCACTGTAAAACCAGCTTAAGTCTGGGCTAGTACAAGCAGCGGCACATACACATACACATGCATGCACGTCGTCATATGAGCGAAATATTCTCAAGCACGACGTAAAACCCAATTTCACCTCACCTCTTTACCAACTAAAGCTAGTAAGATTGTGATTTTCTTATAGGTACAGGGTAATTTTAGTCTGTACTTGGTTGCAGACATGCATTTGAAATTACATGCTTGAGAAGTGAACAAACAATTGTTCTTCTTAGAATTACTTGGACCAAAACATTTTCATCTTTCTTTTTCATGTTCATGTTCTTGCTCTATCTTTAGTCGTAAGAGGCGACTAACGGGATTGAGTGGTCAGGCTCGCTGACTTGGTTGGCACATGTCATCGTATCCCAAATGCGTAGGTCGATGCTCATGTTGTTGATCACTGGATTGTGTGGTCCAGACTCGATTATTTACAGACCGCCGCCATATAGCTGGAATATTGTGGTGTAAAACTAAACTCACTATCTTTAGTCTGGCCCTTTTTTTTTGTCTCAACTATAAAACTGTTAGAACTTGTGAAAAAATACGCCCCAGCATTTTGGTTGATGAAATGTGTAGTCACATGCCTCTGCTACTATTGAGCTTCTCACTGATGCAACCTATATGCTACGTATGCTTTTAGAAGTTGTGAACATGAAGCGGATAACCGTACAGTATTAAAACACTCTAGAACCAAATGTGGTGATCTCCACACTAAAGCTAAAATTAATACCTCTTATTCAGAAACTCCATCCTGACTAAACAAAAATGCAGTCCCAGCCATGGTATTGTGGGCTTTAGCTGCTTCTGACACTGGATACACGTTGTTTAGTACTGTGGTGAATGGAGATGAAATTCTAATATTTTGTTATGGCTTAGGTATTGAAGTTACAGTCCTCTTTATGCTAAGAACAGGCCCTACTTCTGTTTTTGTTTTCCATTCCACTTCTGTTTGTTGTTTATCAGGTGCTTTTGCAATTAGGACTACGCTAATTACTGACGCAAACATTATATTTCGTTTTGTATCTGTATATGCCCCAGTCATTGAGCAATTGTTGTATATATGGACATGTCCACATTATTGTACATTGTACAGCACAGTACAATAACTGTTCATTGTTGGTGGACCACCTGTCGTATTGACATAATGTACATGCTGTTGAACAGGGTCTGGAAATATAATCAGCTTACTATACAGAACTTGTTTTGTGTTGATGCCGTCACTGGACGCAATTCATGATTGCGGACAGTGGTAATGTTGAATACATAAAAAATTTAATATTATGTTTTGTCTTTTATGTGTAGATTTAGTCCATTAAACATTGAGTAAGAGTTTGAATCAATGCCTTGCAAAAATCAAGTGTTCCCATGGAAACAAACAAATGGATTAATGGAAAATAATTATAGTGAGTGTGAGCAGGCTGTGAGAAAACACAGCTCGGACATTTTTGCATGGATCATTGTTACCTATCTTGGGCCAGTGGTGGAATAATTAATTACAGTGATACTGGTTTTCCCCCAAAGTATAGTCACACTGCATACACCACTGGAGCTGTGGAGTAGTGTCCAACACTGGGTGTTTTTATGCAGCTTGAAGCAGGCAGGTTAACATCAATCGTTGTATAATACAGGTTAAACGATGGGAATATTCTTGATAATCTTTGGTGATGATCCCATAAGGTGATAAGACAAACAATTGTTAATGTCTTGGGTTACATATACTTACCCAAGGTCCTATACCGCTGCTTCAGATGTCAGTACAAGGATGAGGCTAGCTCAGATTTCTGGTTTGTATCTCTAAATGGACTTGGGTTTTGGTGTACCACGCACTGGTTTTCAGATTTAAACCTGCTTGTATCTAGTAATTTAATCTCTGAAATAATGAGTCAGTTAATATTAAAATAGTCACTCCTGTTTCTAACCTTGAAAGGATGATTCTTGATTCTTAATGCTTCATACTTTAATTACACTGTAGGTGCTTGAAATTATTTGCTATTTAAACAGGGTTCCTTCCACAAGGCCATCATACTTCCTGTTGTTGAGTTTGTTATAGAATAGGAGTTGTGAGAAAAGAGGCCCAGTATTCAATATATTTTTCCTGCTTTATGCATAGTTTCAGTATAGTTGGACTTATTAGATTAGGGATTATCAGTAAGGTATATACATCAGAACACTCCTGTGTGTGGTTGACATGATTTAGCTTGTCTTTCAGACTTGTAGATACAAAATGTATTTTTTTAGTGGAGTATATTTAGTCAGTGATATATTTAAATCGTCAGATAATCATCCGTATTGTATTAAATCATCTACATCAACAGCAAGGCTGACACTGTGAAGTAGGATGTGAGACTGACTTGAAAGTGCAGTATTATGTGGTCACATGGCAGAGTATGCACTGGTCATGGAACACCTTTCTAGATCCATCATACTTCCTGGTTTTGTATATGCTGTGTTCTGGATCAATTAAAACAATTAAGATCTAGCTGATTAAGGCTTTAAAAAGAAATACATTTTTGGTAGCGATGTTGGATGTCATGAAAAGTAATGGTTAAAAAAAAAAGTTCTATAAACGGAACAAAAAAAACCACACCTTCACATCCAGTCTCTCATAACTCCACCGCACCCCTTTCATGCTCACCTTTTCTGCCCTCACCCTCATCATTGTCTGTCATAACCAAAGCATTTGAGCTACATTTTTTTTTCTTGTAAAGAACATTTAGGTTGTGTGTAAAACCATTTCTAAAGCGG